GATTTAACCCCCCCCCCCCCAATGTTTGCATGTTTGCAGGGGGCAATGTGTATGGGGCAGTGTTTACACAGAGGTGGCAATGTGTACCGTTGGGAAGTAGGGGGCAATGTGTGCAGGGGACTGGGGTGGAGGGATTTGTGCAAAGGGTGCACAGTGTGTAGGGAAAGACAGTGTGCAGGGGAAAGGGGGACTGTGTAGATAGTTGGTGAATTTAATTTAAGCTAAATCTACGATGTCTTCATTGTATTCTATTCAGAATCTAAGTTGTATTAAGCCACGCCCAATATTAATTTTAATCCAACCACGCTCAAGAGGACAGTAGTGGGGGGGGGGGGGGGGCAGCAAAATGCACCTTCGCCAGTGTAGACAGAAATCCTTGCACTGGCCCTGCCTCTAGCAACCAGTCAGTGAACATTAGTGATATGCTGTAACCTCTAGCAACCAATCAGTGAGTAATATGGATGTACTGTAACCTCAAGCAACCAATCAGTGAGTGGTAAAGATTTGCTGTAATCTTTAGAAACCAATCAGTGAACAATAATGATGTACTGTAACCTCTAGCAACCAGTCAGTAAGCAGTAATGATGTAATGTAACCTCTATCAACCAATCAATGAGTGATAATTATGTGCTGTAACCTCTAGCAACCAATTAGTGAGTGATATTGAAAAGCAGTAACCTCTAACAACAAATGGGTGGTCAGTAATGATGTGCGATAAAGTCTAGTTACCAATGGGTGAGTGGTAATGATGTGCAGTAACACCTAGCAACCAATCAGCGAGCGGTAAGGATATGTTGTAATCTTTAGCAACCAGTCAGTGAGCCTGGACCAATCAGTGAGTGTGAACCAGTTCTTTATATTTACATTACTAAAGCTTTTTGAGACAAGTTTATGTGTGTGTATATGTTTGGTTTTTTGGGATGTTGGGGTGGAGAGCAAAATTGTATGGGGGGAGGCCAATAATATGTTTGTCCAGGGTCCAATCTATATTAAAGACGACCCTGGTGCAAATAGAAAAGTATCACAAACAGTACTCAACTGTGTTGTTGCACGTGTAGTATTACTGCTATAATCACTACTATCTAACCACTAGAAGCCGCTATTGCCTTGGTCTACATGAATAGCTGACAATTCAGACAAGGAAAGACAGATCAACTTACAGCACAACTTTCACTGTATTCTGTCCTATGAGGCACAACGTAAGATATCACATCAAGAGGTCCAGTACACTGCAGTAGGGATTCTGAGGAATTTTTACAGCTGGACAGAACAATATAGTAATGAGTTGGAATATAAACATCTGAATCCTTTGAAATTCTGCAAAAAAAGCATAACAGAAAAAAACAGTCTTGGTTAAACAAAAAAACAGCTGGCAATACATATGTTCATATGTTCCACAGTAAATGTAGCCATTATCTCTATGCAGAACTATGCTTTAAACTAAACCTGTACTTTTCCTCACTGGATAAAATAAAAGGTTTGTGTTACTGTATGGGGTATAAGGTACCCGATTTACGTTCTATTCTCCCCCCGCAACTCTATTCCCCATCAGCTTGCCCAGAAGTTACCTGGTACTTCCAAGTATGCTGAAATGTGTTACCCCCCCCCCCCCCCTTGTCTTTCCATAATGCTTTGTGCTTGAATAGATGGCTGCAAGGCTTGAATACTTTCAAGCGGAAGTGGGGTAATTGTGTACAGCCTCTGTTTAATTTTTGTCTTTGCATAGCAGTATGAAACTTATAATGGAATCTTTGGGTGAGCCAGTGTGGGATTGCAACAGAAAAAATAGGAAGTGGAAGAAGGTATGTAAGTATATGTTTCTTATTCTACATGCAGTATAACAAAGTCAACCTGTTACTTTGCCCAGTTTGGGCAAACTACAATTCCACTTTAATCCAAATAAAGTGCTCTGCGCTAGTTTCTTCACATTTTTGTTACCTACCTTCACCTATCCACTACTCTTCTCTGTTGCTGATCAGTCCTCAAAATCCACTTACATAGCGCCTAACTGTCTTTCCTTCAGAGGAACTATCCCTCTTTTGGAACCAAATTCCTCTTTCCCTTTCTCCTCCAGAGATGTGCCTCTTTTTTGGTCTGATGCAAAAAATGTGCTATTTAACAACTGAATGTATTACAGTATACTACACTAAACATTTAATCCTACCTCTAAATTCATACATTTGTTATTTTGAAAAGCCAATATAACAGAAAAGTAGTGGAGATAAAGAGCACATGGGAATTTCACCATTAATCTTTTCCATATTACCTTTCTGTTGTATGTATAACTGGAGACCTTGCAGCATTGTGTGCTTTGCCTACATTGTGTCACGCTTTCTCATCTTAGAAACTTGATTTCTAAGATGTACATACTGTATATATCTTTACTGCTACAGTATACGGTAGAGGCACAGTTTTAGGTCCCATGTACACGGGACACTTCTGAACGATGGAAACTGACTGCTGGAAAATGTAGATTAAAAAACGTCTGTTTAGCTGCGTTTATGAGTGTTTATGAGCGTTTGCATTTAGAAGCATTTTTTAAGATAACCTCAGGATACCTTCCAAAATGCCAAAAAAGCACTGAAAAACAGTAAAAATTAACTAATTCAGACATTTTGAGAGAAATAGAGAGAGCAGAAGCAGAGAGAGCAGTATTTATTGAGATTAGCGGTCTTTTTTTTTGTGGTGTTTGGATGTGTTTCAGCTCATTTCTGTGCAGAAATTATTGCAGCAGTGTCTAACATATATTTTTTTAAAACCTTAATTTCCATTTTAGTACTGGGAAAATACTTTGCATGCATTTTTCATGAAGAAAAAAGGTTCTGGACATCATCTGGAAATGGAAGAGTTAAAAAAAAATTGTCAAACGCCTATAAACGCGGTTAGCCGCATTTGCACACGTTTACAAGCATTTTGCATGTGAAACGCTGATAAAATGGACTGCTGAATGCAAGTTTTCTGCGTACAAAAAAAGACTGTAAACGCAAATGCCTGTAAATGACTGTAAACGACTATGTGTGCATGGACACAAAGGAAAACATTAGGGTGAGTTTAGGGGCTGCTGAAAAAAATGCTGAACAGCTCCTAAACTTGAGTTTATCAGCTGCAGTGTACATGAGCCCTTACCTAGTAGCTTGTAAACAATCAACCCACTTAACCCTCAGGTAAGGGAAGACAGAGATTGTAATACTTGCACACCAATCAACATTCCTAGATTGTAAGCTCGAAAGAGCAGGGCCCTCAATCCCCTCATGTTTTGCATTGTATTGGTATTGTTCTGTCACATGTTCTGTCCCCCTTTGTAATGTACAGTGCTGAGCGAACTATTGGCGCTTTATAAATACTGTACAATAATAATAATAATAATTTAAAAAAATGTGTGATATTCATCATTCTTATCAATTGTGAAAAAAATAAAATTTAAATCACTCATCTAAAGTGCAAATGGTAATGGTGCTCAGTGCCACTCTTTAGACAATGATTTTAGGTGTCACAAAAGGTGATAGCATTCATTCACTCCAGTGTTCCACAAATCCTCGCACTGCACTCAAAAGATCATATGAACGTCTTGAGTGAACAAGAAAGTTAAACAAAACTGCCAAGTTGAGAAGTATCCCACTCAGTAGGTCCCTCTCTGGTATTCCGTACACACTGGCGTCACTTTATATTCTTTTCTCCCCTCCCTAAAGCACAGAAATCTTTCTTTTTACATTACCAAAAAACTGTTGAAGCTGTCCTTTGCATAATGAGGACATAGGTTTTAGGCCGGAAGTACCGGCAGGAAAAGAAGAGGGGAAACTGGCATTCAGCTAGGCATTTTGGATAGGTAGTTCTGTGCATTCTTTTGAGAATCGTACACAACTTCATTGGAAATATGATGTGATCTTCTTTGACTGGACTTCCATGCCTATATTCCCTGGACTGGCTCCTTGTACAATGCAACCATCAATGACCTCTTTAGACTCTTCACCTAAAAGCTGCAAGGAGGATAGCGGATTCTAGAAATGACAGTCAGATGAATACACAGCAGCAGCATTCATCTGACTGTCAGTTCTAGTACAGTACATTTTATATGGAGGCCCATACAGCAAAAGAATTCTGTGAATTATTCAACTACAAAAACCGACATCCTGTGCAAGTATCAGCTTGTAGTTCTCAATGAACTACCATGGTGCTATTGAGCGCTATGGTAGCTCATTGATTCTTCCTGTCAGTGTGAAACTGCCTTCCTGTATGATGTACAGGCAGACAGATTACACAGCAGGAGTCATGCATAGCACCAGCGATCAAAGTGAATGCACATTTTTTTTTTTAATGTGAACTTGTCCTTTAAGCTGATTCTCAATAGTTTCAAGCTGTTTTGAGCTACTTCATGTTGCTTTAGCATTCACACTGACATGTATAGGTAAGAAAAGCAGCTCAAACACAAACAAAATGACACAAGCCCTTAATGGGACATATGGGTGAGAAAAAGGGGTAAACAAAGATAAAATCATACCTCTGGACTATAATCACTTATTAGAATAATATTAAAACAATAACTAAGTGCTTCTGTATATGGGTGTGAGTCTGCTCCTGAATTGCTTTCCTTCCTCATACTGTACATGTTATTGAATATGCAGAAGCAACTCATACGCACCACATAAGTGAGACAAAAATTTAGTTCATAGCAACTTAAATTTGATTAAAAGGAAATACGGTAGAATAAGACGTTTGACTTGCTCCTGTTTTATAAATGGCTAATTGTAACACTGCACAAATCCTGTGCTGATGTTGAGTTTATACATCCATTAAAGCGAGAATGCTTTCAAAAAAGTAGCACAAACATGTTATTAAACATTTTATTTAAATACATGGCATGAAACATAGGTTTTACAATTAGAATACCATCAGATTTTAAAACAAATTATTACTTACTTCTGAATTTGTTCAAAACTATCAGACTGACCATCAAAATCATAATCAAATATAGGACCAGTGATAACATTAACACCATTTGTCTCCGAAGCGTATTTTAGTAATATGACATTCTGGAAATAATCCCAAATTACTGAAATGAAAGAAAATAATAATGATGATAAAATAATAATAATGGTAAGGAAAATAAGTTTATCTTTTTACATACTCTAGAAGGCCAACAGTCCTACCATTATTGGTTACTGTAAGATCTTATGAATAAGGCAGAATTATAAAGTAAACGAGGGCAAAAAGCAATGAAGTTCAGTGACTTAAAATGACCATAAATCGTTTAGCTACGTTGATTCCCGAAACATGGTTGCTATGGGCTACTGACAGGTAATGTACTAAAAAAAGCAATTCTTTCCTTTCCCCAGTTTTAAAAAAACACTGCCACATATGAACTATATAGCTTAGAAAGAAGTCACTATTGCACAATGTGTACCTGTCTGTCCAAAGAGAAACAGTAATTCTCCCCTTAGGTGCCACCATCTAGCCTCTCATAAAGCATAAAAAGGATGAAGCCAGCCTGTCTTCAGGTTAGTAGACATAAGTTTAGCTACTATTCACTTATTAACATTTACATAGTAGTAACTTCACTGTTTACCCTGCTTTGGCTTCACATTTTGGGGAGGAAAACAGCACGATGAAGCAGAATAGGAATATTTCAACTAAGAAAGAGTTAAAATGTCTGTCTTTTTTTTCTATTTCTGACTATGAAACCATTGGAGAGAATATCTCTCACTTTTTGGACAATGTGACACCCATACAATAAATGTGTGGGAGGGGTAGGTGTCACTATAACTGGAATACATGGCCAGCAATAAAACAATGTAAGAAATTCTAGCTCTTTCTCATATTTACTAAAGAGTTAATTTGTTTATTTCAGAGTTTCCACTGGATAGATTTTCACTTCCTGCCCTGAAGTAAGGGTAAATGTCCCCGCTAGGGGAAAAAATTTACAGAGCATCTAACGATTTCCCACTTTCCAAAAAAACAAAAACAAAATATAAAGTTTTTGTTGGATTTGGACTTTAAGTAAACCCTCCAGAAGGAATTCTGAGGCATATATGTTATACTGTCACCTACAAGAAAATTGGACCCTCCCAACAGGAAATACTGTTAGCCAGACAGTATAACTCTTCTCACTCCCATTGTGCTTAAGTTTTGTGCAAAAGTAGTAGGAGTGATCATAAGACAGAGGAAAAGGACCTGTGACCCTTAATGAACTCCAAGAATAGAAGGAATGGTAAGATGTATGGTATATCCAAAAGCAGTTCAGCACAAAAAACAAATTAACACAAAAAACTAAATACTAACAAGCCCACAAAAGAGCATAACTAGTGACTATTTGCAGCTCAAAGAGCTGTCTGACTGACCTCTCTGAAGCTGGTATAAGCCATGGCTCCATTCACATTAGGTGTTTTGGAATTGGGGAATTGGGGCAAAATCTGTGATGTACGTTTGGGTGTAATTATTTTTAATGGCACTCCAAACACCGTGCAATTTTGTCACAACTTTCGTGCAACAAAATGCACATTTAAAAATCGCTTGTCACCGTAAGGTGCAGGAATTTCTGGGTGAAACACCCATAGAACAACCCATTCAACTCAATGAGCTGCCCTATGGACGGCATGCAGACATGCATATGAAAAAAACTCTTTTTAAAAATTGTGAACACTAGTTCCCAGTAACACAAGATCTGAATGGGGCCTAAAACTTAGAGAATGTATGAATGGAAGACCAGGTGGCAGCCTTGCAAATCTGGGATACTGATGCATGATGCTGAAAAGATCAAGCTCACTGGTCTAGTGGAGTATGCCTTGACAAGAAAGGGAGACGCCTTGTCCTTAAGTGTATAGGCTTGAAATAATGAACTGCCTAAGCCACCTAGAAATGGTGAAACAATAGGCAGGTATTCCTTTACAGGGACCCCAAGTAATGATGAAAAATAGTCAGTGAGTATCAAAGATGCCATAAATGAAAAAGAAACTCAAACACCTTATACTACGTCCAAACAACAGGGGAGTCACCTTGGGATGTTATAGAGGGACAGAGATCTGAAAGTATAATGTCCTAATTAAGGTGAAAGGAAAACACCACACTGGGGAGAAAAGAGGCCCTTTGTAGCTCTGAGTTCTAGTATGTTGATCAGGAGATGAGCTTCCTCCAGTGACCAAGTCCTCTGCATTGAAAAAGTGTCCAGGACTGCTTCCGAGCTTATTAAGCTAGCATCCGTTGTAAGAATCTTTCAGACTGATGGAAGATAGTATTTACCTGACTCCAGGGCAGGATTCATGAGCCAGGCCAGGGATAACCTTGTCTTGGGAGTTAGATGCATGAGATTGCCCGTAGAACATGTCTTCCTACCCCATGGAGCCAGAATGTTTAGCTGCAATGGCCTGGAGTGGAACTGAATGAGGCGGGTTGCCTTGAAGTAGACCACCATCAAGCACAGAACTCTCATGTAAATGCAGAAAGAATCACTGCTTCTGCACTGCAGAGTCTAAACATGGGACTGTTCCTTCGAGAAGAGGCTGTCCAGGTATCATTATGGGGATGCCTTGTGACCATAGCAAGGCTCATGCAGGGGTGAGTATCTTAATGTAAACTCGGGTGAAGTTTATTGTTCTTCCAAAGGGAAGGACAATAAACAGGTAGTGCTGCATGCCCACAGCAAAAACATGTAGTGGTGATGCACTGGAAAGATAGGAACACGCAAGAGGCATCCCTAACCAGAAAGTCTCGCAGATGGAGCAAAGCAACAACTGACCAGATAGTTTCTATACCCAACCTTGCATCTTGAATCACAGTATTAAATGCTTTTAGGTCCAAAATTAAGTGAACGACTTCTTTTGCTTTGAGTATGGCGAACAGGTTGGAGTAGAAACCTTGAAACCTTTTTTGTTCCAGAACCATGGCTAAAACACTGTGGGAGGGGAGTTGCGCCAGAGCAAAGTGGATCTCTGCTAATCGTTGTGGGGGCTTTGGTAAACGTGACAGCATAAATCAGTGTAGAAAATCTAGCTTGTTCCCCCTCCCTTTCATCCAATATGCATTAAAGTCAGATGGTTGCAAAGGCTAACAGATGTTCTCCCTAATTTTGGAAGTGGAGATATGCCCTCATTGCCCTCTTATCGCATGTTTGGAAGGTTTTGGCATTAAAGGTTTGTGAGGGAACTGAATCACAAACTTGGACTTAGAGGTCTGGGAAAAATTAAAAGGAACTCTCTCTGACCCTGCATCCCTTAAAGTGGTTCTAAAGGGTTAAGGTTTTTACCTGAAACCTTCTGTTATTAGGATCCACTCCAGCAAGTGGCTTGCTATGGGGGCACTCATCGAAGAGAAGGAGCCAGGAATCCCAGTGGGTGACCCCATAGGAGGAGGATTGGGGCTGCTCTGTGCAAAACGACTGCACAGAGCAGTTGAATATGGCATGTTTATTATTTTAAAAAAGGAAGCTTTAGAATCACTAAAGCTTACTGAACGACTAAAAAATATGGTACATGTTGTAGATTAGATAAGTGGAAGGAAATGGTAAAGTGAAAAATCTGAAAATAAACCTAGGTAATGTATAGTCACAGGTTTATTGTACTCACAATATTCTAACCTTTAGATAAAAAAACTGTTAACAAGAAAGCACATGATTCAGGAATATCACGATAAAGGGCAAAAGTGTTCCATGACAAAGTACAGCTAGGCGGATAAAGTAATATAAATAAAATAGACAATGTAATAGAGAAGTATAGTAAAAAAAAAAAAAAAAAATAGCGTGATGTTATACCAACCATTTTCTTTGCAATGTTTACAGAAACCACAGCGGAATAAGCAAACTATTCATCATTTAAATAACGTATCAGTAGATAACCAGTGAAAAAAAGCTCATGTATCATGTCGACAATCTCTGACCATCTCCTGTATTGAGGGGAATATACCAAAACCTGGCATCGGCCAGGTTTGGTATATTCATAGTTACATTAGTCCAAGCTGGACCATGGCAACTAGGTATAATATAGCAATGTCATTACTGAAAAGTTATGCATTCACTGAAATATGCTATGCTTTTCCCTTAATCTGATGTATGATTACCTCCAGTTCTGTTTTCCTCAGTAGCATATTAAATTGGTGGTAGTAGGAAATGTTGATATGGTAATTATCACTACAAAAAAGCCCACTATCTACTGATGAACGTTTGCGTGATTAAGATGGGAGTGTTAATCAATTATTGTAATCTACTATTCTCAATATTTAACTTTGTAGCGCAATTATTCATTAAGACTTTGCCCTTGGGTATACCTTCTGGAGAACTACATGCTTGATAAGATACATTAACACTGACAACATACAAAAAAGGACAGTAAAGTCTTGATTATGAAGTGGTGACATGTGGAAGTAGGAACTAATATCATTGGTTAAATGGTAGCAAAATTGAGTATGTACATGCTATATGGGTACATACAATAATTATGTCACAAAAACAATATACTAACCTTTAAAAGCAGGATACATTGGACCAATGTTGGTAGTAGTAAGTCCTGAATAAGAAGTTGATTCAGATGTTCTTCTGAGGCCTAAAATACATATTTAATCAATGGTTATGAGATTAAAGTAAACTTGTCAGGCAGGTGCAAGCAGTGCAAGCTGCCTGCTATTACTTTTATTAGCTTTAAAAAGCACCTGTGACTCTGGTTTCAGTTTGATACAACTTGCTCAGTTTCCCTAACTTTGGGGAGAAGTCCTGACTTTTGGAGATACATCCCCACTTCTCATTCCTTGTCCAGTAAGTGCCCTTACTGGTCATTCTTATTGGTCCAGAAGATGGAACAGAACAGAGTTTTTCTGTAAGGGACCAATCTCAAAGGTGGGAAAGTAAAGCTATTATTAACACACCTCCCTCAAGATCAAAGGAGGCACAGAAGAGATTGCTGTCTGACAAAGGTAATAATAGAGGCATTACACTTTGTGCTGTTAGGCAAGGCTTTTTCTTTTGGGAGTTCAAAATTGCAGACAGGTTCACTATAGGATAACATCACCAGCATCCGATCACACAAGTATTCATTTAGATACTAACTATGGAAGACTCAGACAATGACCAGAGGTATAAAAGGAAACTTCACCTTAGAGCTAAAGACTTTTAATACAATTAGGTTTCCTTTAGAAAAATTACACTTTTGACACTTCAATAAAAAAAAAAAAAAGAAGGAAACTGTGTTATGCAATGCAACAACGCATCACACCATCCCTACACAACTCACACCATCCCAACACAACTCACACCAGCACATGTGCAATATACAGAACATGGTTTGAGCAGGCTGGAGAAAATGGGATATTAATCTTGAATTACTCCTAAACAAAAGCAGTGCAGTTCCTGTACATAGGCACTCCTGTACCTAAACTTTCACAGCTGTATTTGTAGTGTGAAATAATTTAAGGCATTTCTGCCCATGACTGCTAGTCTCAACAGATCTGGAGTGATATTTGATGATGTCACTACTGTGCTTCTCACTGTTCTCCTTTCTGAAGAGAAAGCTACAGTGCAAGTATCTTCCTGTTTAATTAATTCTATAGATCTATATTTTCTTTCTTAAATGCCATTCAACAGTTACCCAGTCAAGTCAAAGTCGTGCTTCTCTACAAGATGGCCCCATCCTCATAGAAATCGTGTGAAACAAGGCATACAAAGTCAGCAATGGAAAAAAGATCAGCTGCACAGAGTCTATAGGTACATCTAGTGACTGGTCCTCTAACATCTGCCTGCCTTTTCTAGGCACAGCTTTCACAGTTCAGATTTTCTTTAACCACTTCCCGCCTAACCTATTATAATAATATGGCCTCACAGAAGGACCATTATCCTGGGTGGACATCATATGACATCCTCCCTCTTGCATGTCTCTTGCACACCCTAAGGACCATGCAGCGACGTAATCTGTGTCCCGCTGTGTACTGGCTAGCCCTGGTGCCATGTGATCACTCTGACCAATCACAGCAATCACATGTCATTAGTACACAATGACTTTCATTCATAGCCATTCATTGTGTACCATTGTGATCGCTGTGATTGGTTACAGTGATCACATGGTACAGGGCCAATCACAGTGGACCTGTACCATATGATAGCTGTGGCCAATCACAGCAATCACAATTGTACACAACGGCACATGTATGGATGCCATAAAATTATTGCTTATACAGTGATAATCATGGTGCAAAAAAAAAAAAAACACACCTGATTACTGCCCCACCATAGTGATACTGTACTGCTCTGACCACGGTATGTAAAAAAAAATGTAAAAAAAAGTTTACAAAATTGAAAAGAAATCTTTAATTTTTTTTTAACACCTTGTCACCACTCAGTGTCCCTGATCATTGCCACACCAGTAATATGGTGACGTGGTGACAGTATGTACAGAAAGAAAATGTAAAAAACAAATTGTAGTTAATTTCTTCATTTTTCCCCAAAAAAATTTTACAAAAAAAAAAAGAGGTCATTTGGGGGTATCTGTACTGTCCTGTCATTTTAGGGTTTCAAGAAACGAGATAGGCATTCAGTACATCAGGATTGATCGATTTTCAAATGTACAGGTGTACCTCGGTTTACGAATTTAATGCGTTCTCTGGGACGTTTCGTATTGTGAAAAATTTGTAAATGTGGTTTCCCATAGGGATGCATTGAAAAAACAATTAATCCATTCTGGAGGTCAGAAAAAGTAAAAAAAAAGTCCCTGTCCCTATAGGTCAGTGCCGATTTTTAAATATAATTACCGGCTTTTTTTTTCTTCACTATAGCTCAGAGAATCAGCTGTCACTTTCCCCCCAGCTAAAAGAAAGAAAGTTTCCTGTTAGTTTATTTCCCTGAGTTAAAAGAAGCAATGTTTCCTTTTAGTTTGTTTCCCGAGATAAAATAAACAAAGTACAGTATCCTTTAGCTCCGGAGAAAGTGACAGCTAATTCTGTGAGCTATAGTGAAGAAAAAAATAAAGCCAGCAATTGCAATTAAAAATTGGCACCGACATACACTTCGTATTGTTTGGCATTATTTTCAATGGATTTTCATTCGTAAACCGAAAATTACTTTAACCGAGGCATTCGTAAACCGAGGTACGCCTGTATATGATATATACCATAGTTTGTAGTTGCTAACTTTCATATAGCCTAAATAATTTACACTGGTTTGGGGTATTTTCACTAAAAAAAATGTAGCAGAATACATTTTGGCATAAAATTGTGAAGAGAGATTATTTATTTGCAAATTTTATAACAGAGACAAAGAAAAATATTTTTGGTTTAATTAGCAAAAAAATTTAAAAAAACAGTGGTGATTAAATACCACCAAAAGAAAGCTCTATCTGTCTAAAAAAATGGTAATCTAATTTGGGTACAGTGTTGAATGATTGAGTAGTCATTGAAAGTGTGACAGCGCTTAAATCTGAAAATTGGCCTGGGCAGAAAGGGGATGAAAGTGTCTGGAACTGAAATGGTTAAGGGCTCATTCAATTGGGCACTGCTATAGGTGCTATCATGCATGCTGAGTTGCTGTTTTCTGCATCTACGTCCACCTTAGAACTGCACACAGGCAGCCTATAAAAGTGAATGCAGATGCAGCTGCTGCATGGACACAATCGCTTTTCAAAATTTGACATGTGTGCAGAAGTAGGTGCATAGATCTGAATGCACACTGTCTGTGTTTGGATCTGTGCACCTGCTCCAGCACACCTGTCAAATTTTGACATGTGGCGGCTTTGTCTGTGCAGCTGCTACATCTGCATACACTTCTATAGGCTGCCTGTGCACAGCTCCAAGGTGAATGCAGATGCAGAAAACAGTGGCCCAGAATGCAGGAGGGTGGCAGTGCCCATCTGAATGAGCCCTTAAGTAGAAAAAAATTCATGATGTTATCTTCTCCAATTGGTAATGTCCATTTTCTGCATACCAGGAGTGGCAAGTTCAAATTTCTCCAGAACTGCATCCATCATTTAATCCAATGTTATTATGACTCAAATACTCTTGTGAAGATTAGTTTATTTCAATAGTCATACTTAAACATGTTAAGTACTGTATATAATAATGGAATAAGGGAGCATTGATAAAAATGAAGAGTAGTGTATTTACTTGCAGGAAAGAAGAATCCAAATTTCAGCGAAGGATGATCATGGTAATACTGACATCGCTGACTTTGTCCTGGTGGAACTCGAGCATCCATAAATAAACATGAAGAATTCTTTTTCAGAGAGGCAGACAAAAATTCCTAACAAATATAAAAAGCCTGTTAATTCCAAAGATGAAAAATCTCATCAATCAGTGTATGTGAGGATGTCAGAATAATCCATAAAAGTACCCCAGAAGGGAATCATCACGTGTTTATCAAGCTACATTTATGTTTTGCCAAAAATTACATTAGAGGAAAATCAGAACATCATGAATACATCAAGTCATTTTATAGTAGAGAAGGCTTGAGCTCTTGGCCCTGACATCAGTCAGTGTGGGCCATCTGTTCTGCGTACATGCCTTTAAACTTTGAGGACAGAAAGAAGGACACCTTCCCAAAAACAAAAAAAGGTGCTTTTTATCACTACTTTTACTTTATGCTAGCATTCGAAGCAATCATGCATCATTTAGTGGTCGGCTAAATAGCTTAATGCAATATAAATATGTTTATTAGTTAAACAGTACATTTATTGAGAGTACATTCATCGCCCTCTACCTGGCTATTCAAGCTGCATGCTCGGATAGGGGTTTGGGTGGTTTTTTGGAGGGAACCCCACTTTTGTTTTATTTTTGTGTGGGGTTTCCTGAAAGGTCCCTGCCAGTAAATAAGTGACCATTGCTAACCATTGATAGCAGAAAAAGCAAACTGTCAAATTTACACTATATTGCCAAAAGTATTGGGACACCCCTCCAAATCATTGGATTCAGGTGTTGCAACCACCTCCATGGCCACAGGTTTATAAAAAATCAAGCACCTAATCATGCAGACTGCTTCTACAAATATTTGTGAAAGAATGGGCTGCTCTCAGGAGCTCAGTGAATAAAAGCATGGTACCATGATAGGTTGCCACCTGTGCAATAAGTCCATCCATGAAACTCCCTTGCTATTAAATATTCCACGGTCAACTGTTAGTGGTATTATAACAAAGTGGAAGCAACTGGGAACAAGAGCAATTCAGCCACAAAGTGATAGACCATATAAAATGACAGAGCGGGGTCAGAGCATGCTGAAGCGCACATTGCACAGGAGTTGCCAACTGTCTGCAGAGTCAATAGCTAAAGACCTCCAAATTTCATGTGGCCTTCAGATTAGCCCAACAACAGTTCGTACAGAGCTTCACGGAATGGGTTTCCATGGCCGAGTAGCTGCATCCAATCCTTACATCACCAAATGTAATGCAAAGCATCAGATACAATGGTGTAAAACACACCACCACTGGACTCTAGAGCAGTGGAGATGTATTCTCTGGAGTGACAAATCACGCTTCTTTGTTTCGCAATCCAATGGACATGTCTGGGTTTGGCTGTTGCCAAGAGAACAGTACTTGCCTGGCTGCATTGTGCCAAGTGTAAAGTTTGGTGGGATTATGGAAGGATTATGCTGTGGGTTTGTTTTTCAGGGGCTGCGCTTGGCCCTTAGTTCCAGTGAAAGGAACCCTTAAGGCGTTAACATACCAAGACATTTTGGACAATTTTATGCTTCAAGCTGTGTGGAAACAGCTTGGAGATGGCCCCTTGCTGTTCCAACATGAATGAGCACCAGTGCACAAAACAAGGTCCATAAAAACACGGAGGAGCGAGTTTGGGGTGGAGAAACTTGACTGGCCTGCACAGAGTCCTGACCCCAACCTGATAGAACACCTTTGGGATGAATTAGAGCGGAGACTGCAAGCCAGGCCTTCTCGTCCGACATCAGTGCCTGACCTCACAAATGCACTTCTGAAAGAATGGTCAAACATTCCCATAGACACACTCCTAAACCTTGTTTACAGCCTTCCCAGAGAAGTTGAAGCTGTTATAGCTACTAAGAGTGGGCCAATTTATTATTGAACCCTACAGACTAAGACTGGGATGACATGTGCACGTAAAGGCAGGAGTCCTAATACTTTTGGCAATATAGTTTATAATAGCAGGAGAATAAGCAGCTACTATAAATTAAGTTTGGATCCTGCTGATTGGGCTAAATGACCAGCATTCGGATAAAAGCCCAAACAGGCAAGGTTTGAATTGAAAAGGTAGCTCATCCCAATAAAGAATTTCAGTTTACTGTAAATCAAAGTGATGCCATGCACAGACTATTCAAAATGTCAGCACAATTAAAGCATATCCACCACATAAATTTCAGAAAAATATTAATTTTTTTAATCAAATCTGCTTGAGGTGATTGTAGCCATATTAGTGCACTTGCACAACGTCAGTACTCAATTGTTTAATCAAATCTGAATTTGTAGAAACATAGGGTTCTTTTTATAAACAATTTGCCTTGCAAATTGTTTCAGAATTCATGTGAAAGTTCTGAATGATACCCATAATGTTTGTGAAATGTTTGTGATTGTTTCTATTTGTAACATTCCATAACATTCAATCCTAAGAGTTACCAGTAATTCACACATGTCCAGTGCAGTTTGAAGCTCAGGTTTCACAGCTAATTGACACAGCAGTTGTTAAGCGGTTCATGCCAGGTCTACATCAGATTCAGGACAGGATTAGGTCAGGATTTTATCCTGTTCATACATGTGCAGTTTAGAAATGGTTCCCTTAGAAGTCAATAGCCTATAATCCACACCTGAACCTGAAGGCACTGCTCAGAAATCGTACAGGACTCTTTTTTCAAACCGTATGGAGTGCGCACCACCAGTGCACCAGACATATGTGAACAGGCACCATAGGAAGCAATGTTGTATTACATGTCATGCGGATTGGTTGGGGTTCAAGAGAAAAAAGGCCAAAGAACATTTTTTTCCCAGTAAATGTATAGGAAGTGGAGAGGAGGCAGAGAAAATGAAGTCATTTTCAGGGGCGAATTTCTGATTTAAGATGTCCCCTATACACTTTCTGAATGATATAATAGAGTTTGTCCAATATAGAAGACTGTACAAAACTTACTCCTTCAATTCAGATGGCCATATTACCTTATATGATAGTGCTGGCAAAGAATATCTACTGTAATATGCAAGTCAACAACTTCCCCACTGATTATGTAGTCAATTGACTCATTTGCCCCTTTGGATTACTCTCCATAAGTAGAACTATAAGACCTCTGTAATGTTGGTTTGGCAAACATTATCATAAAATCTCAAAGCTGTTTAAAGTGGTAGTAAAGTCGCCAGAAAAAAAGCCCCCCCCCCCCCCCAACATGTTTAAGTCATAATGTACTAGTATGCACCATATACTAGTACATCATGACAGACTTACCTGTGGACAGAGCCCTCCAGTGCAGCACTGTCACGGCTTTCCTGGCTCTTCCATCTCTGCCCAATCTTCCTTCCGGTTCCATATCTTCGGCTGCTTGAATGGCTGTTCCGCGGTGACATTACTCCCGTGCATGTGCACAGAAGTCACACAGAGCGGGCCATAAATGTAGTCTGAGCATGTACATGTGGATGTTCAGATCACATTACTGTTGACAGGCTGACCCCTAGGATCTCTTCTGTTATAAAAACCATGCTTTTCAGTGTTTTTTTTAAATTATGACTTCACTACCACTTTAAATCATAGTGCTCTCCGACACATTTTAACAAACATAGAAAAAGCCACTGATGGTCTTTTACTGTTCACCGCAGAACACATTACCAACAAGATTCCTTCAGATGACAGATTTGAAAATTGTGTAATCAAGAAACATCTTGACTGAGTTCACAAATGGACAGCACTAACCAAGTTCACATGTGTACAGTGCTTTCGTTAATATATACCTATATATGCATAGAGTGCACAGTACCAAATAACTTACTTATACAAACACAAATATCCTATGACAAATTCATACATCAAATTCATATATCTATATACATATATAAAGTGCAAAAATTAAAAATATGCATGATCAAATGTCCCAACAAATTCATGCTTCAGAAAATAATCCTATGTCCAATTTCAGTGCTGTAGTTCACATTAAAAATCAATATTGTGCTTTGCCCGTTTCTTCACTCCTCTTCTTTCAAACACCACGTGCATAACCTTCATCTACACACTTCACACATCAGATCAAATGAACCACTCAGCTCTGGGTCAGCTTGTGCTAAAACAACCAGGAGTTCACAGAAAAAAAATAATAAAAAGTGTCACAGCATAAAATCTGGCTCCACCACACAGCCTTGTACAAGCTTGGTCCATGTGGAGGATGACCTCTGCGGAATTATGTGACGCCATCCCGCACAAAAAACTAGCTTGCACCAGGCTATGCGGTGGAGCCAGTAGTGGAGAGAAACAAGCACTATACCTGGGATCTGGGGGGGGGGGGGATGTGAGTTTAGTTGGTGTCAGGAATCTAGGAGTGACCAGAAAGGTGTGGACTGACACAGGGAAACGCAGGTTTCAGGTATAGTATAATAATACAGTTTATTATTAGCCACCCATATATATATATAAACGCACAGTGAACAAACCAACCTTCCACTAATCTTAGTAGGTGCAGGAACACAGGCGTAGTCAGGGCTGGAGAGGTGGAATGGTCAGGCCGGCCGTAGGGTTCTGTAATGACCGTTTGGGGGTACCTCTAGCGGTCCTCAGGACAGGATTCCCCAGGGCGCGGAGTCTAAGTCCCCGTCTGCTTATTCACCAGGGCCCCTGATGGTGGGGATGGACTTGGAGCAGACAGGAACCAGGTCGCGGCCCCTGAGTACACCTGCTAGTGGTAGAGGGATCCGCCAGAGGTATGTGCAGGTAGGAAGCCTGATGTGAAGAGGCAGAAGGTGTGAGCAGGGACGGCTGGATCCATGCAGGATGGATGGATGGCAGAGTAGTTAGCGTGGTCAGACGGGCCAGGTCAGCAACATGCGGGCAGCAAGGTACCAAAGGAGCAGGCAGAGAATGGTCAGGGTCACAAACTGGGTTCAGTAACTCACGGGCAGCGCAGTACAGGGGATCAGGCAGAAGGATGGTCAGGCAAGCCAGGGGTTCAACAGGAGATGGTCAGCAGAGGTCAGGATAAAGCAGGGTCAGCAACGAAGCAGGAACACAGGATACCAGGTACAGAGGCTCATGGGAAAACATACACCAAGGCCCTGATCACAGGCCTGGTCATGCCTTAAATACACCTTTCTGCAATCAGCCCCAGGTTTGGCTGATTGCAGAAGTGAGCTTCTGGCTGCTGAGAGCACCCCCTGGTCAGCTCTGGTACTGCAGCCCACATGGCAGGTGAGTCCCACCAGCAGTGCTGAGTCCATTCCTGACAGTTGGTTTTATGTATTTTAATTAATAAAAAGATTTTCAGCTATGGCACTTTTTTCCATTCAGCACCCAGCAGGTCTAAAGCTTTGCCATCCAATGGAGATCCAGGACAGGCTTACCTCTTTATACAGTCTTATCGCTGGTCATGAAGGCATAAGATAAGCTGATTCACTCCTATATGACTGTGGATGTCATTTTACCAATTATTATTACAGTTTAAATGTTTTAAATGCAGAAAGGTCATTTGCACCGTTTTCTACTCTCATTTAATCCTACATTTAAAGCTTTACATTTTACTACTCAAAAGAAAAAACAAGACTATAAAACTTACATTTCTTCCAATTGTGTAGGAGCTCCACAATGGCATCCTAATATTATAGCTGTAACCACTTACATACTTGTCTTGGTACAAAATACAAAAATCACTGTTCTGTAACACCACAGGTCTTCCAAATAGCAAGTTGAGTTTTTTGGTGTCAGATTCTGTAAGACAAGGAAGAAGACAACAATATTGTGCTATGAAGCCAAGACTGAAATTAATACAAACCAGATTAAACACGAACTGTTTGACTGTATGCAGAGTAAGGTATGGCTTAGTGCTCGTGCCTTGCAGCACTGGGTTTCTGGATTTTCATAAAAGACAATCTGGGGTTAAGAAGTTGTCCAGATGCCTGCATGAGTTTCCTCTGGAATCACTGGCTGGCTCCCAAAACACAGACCTTATATGTATACAATGGGGTTGTTCAACTGTGCTTAACCGCTTGCCCTCCACCCTATAGCAGAAGTACTTCTACAGGGCAGCAGGTCTGCGCAAAATAACTTATATATACGTGATTTGCATTCCCGGGTAGGGGGCACGCGAGGGCCGTACCCGCGCCGCTATTGGCTGATTGGGATGTCAATACCGGGTCCCGGCCTGCGATTCCCAGCTGGCACTCCGTGATTGTCAGTAGGGCTGAGAGGGGAGAGATCTGTGGGTAAAAAACACAGATCTCTCTCCTGTCAGCATGGACATGCTGCTTTGTATCTCTCAGCATAGCAGCATAGCAACAAAGCAGTATGTCTCCATAGTAAAACACACACAGTGTACAGTTAACTCTTTGGTTGCCCCATATGTTAGCCCCTTCTTACCCAGTGTCATTAGTACAGTGTCAGTGCTTTTTATGAGCACTGATCACTGTATTAGTGTCACTGGGGATGTCAGTGGCAAATAGTCAGTTCCCACCCAGTGTCAGAATGCCCGCCGCAGTCCCACTATAAGTCGCTGATCGCCGCTATTACTAGTATAAATAGAAAAAAATTAAATTCCAATATATATACACCGCCATTTGCAGATGCTATAACTTTCGCGCAAACCAATTAATATACACTTATTGATTTTTTTTTTTTAGCAAAGACATGTAGCAGCATACATTTTAGTCTAAATTTATGAACAAAATTAGATTTTTTAAATTTTATTGGACGTTTTATAGCAAAACGTCAAATATATTTGGTTTTTTTTTTGCAAAATTGTTGGCCTTTTTTGTTTATAACGCAAAAAATAAAAAACGCAGACGTGATCAAATACCACTGAGAGAAAGCTCTATTTGTGGAAACAAAATTACATACATTTCCTTTATGTACAGTGTTGCATAACTGCGCAATTTTCAGATAAAAGAACACAGCGCTGTATCGCAACAAATTGCCTGGTCAGGAAGGGGGTGAATCCTCTGGAGGGCAAGTGGTTAAAACACTTAAAAGTAAACTAAATTGTCAGCAAAAAAAAACACTAGAGCTATGCTTTAAAGTCTTCCTGCCTGGCTTTCATGTTGACTTTCTTGTTTTGAATCACTGACCCAAACCAAATATTTTACTTTTCGCAACTTTTTCTGATTTGCATACCTGTTCTGAGTTATTCACTCAAAGTATTATAGCTCATCCACTTTTTTATTTTGAAATTTACCTTCCATTCTCCCTCTGTATCAATGAAATAAAAACAAACTTTATACATATTTTATTTCTAGTAGTCTTTTGGCTGGTCTGCCAACATTATGCCATCTTCCTCTTCTCATTGATAGCAATGGTGGGCGTCCTTTACTGCCGTACTGAAAAAAGCACTTATGTAATGACGCTGATTACTGTTCAGTGCAACAATACTGTGAATCCTGGCAAGTATAGTGTTGCAACTCATGACAGTCTGGCTCACAGGACGTGAGTTAGATGATACTGGTCATCATTCAGCCTTAATGAGCAGCCTCATCTCATTAAGGAACAGACTTTTTGGCTTTTTCTTTTTTTTTAATAGTTATGGGAAACACAATTTTTAGTAGTCACTATTAGAACCCCTTCAAATTTTTTTGCTGTCTGTGGGTCACATTTCTATTTGTCCTGGTTACTAGTGTCACTGGGACAGAGAGTAATAGGAAGTTTAAAAATTAAGAGATGCCATTAGAATTGGGGGCAAGTGGAAAATTTCCAGTAAAGGCACCGGTTACAGTAACAACAATATTAATGGAAAATTCTCCTTGCTTTGGAGAGATTTCTGACACTTCCTGATGCTTTTCTGGGACAGGAAGCAAAGAAAAATCTCCCCAACGGGACACAGAAAAAAAAACGCAGTAGTTTTAATTGTTCTATTCTTTATCCAAAAACATTTTTGATAAAGATATATTTTAACATTGCGGTAGTGAGAACAATTTACCTTTTTATATCTTTTCTTAATACATATAACATTAAAGCGGAGATCTACCCAAAAGGGGAAGTTCCGCTTTAAGTCTTTGTCCCCTGCTCCCCATTAAGGATTGGCACCTTTGGGGAGCGGGTACCCGAATTTGACAGGTACCCGCTCCCACTTCCGCTGTGATCGCCTAGGCGATCAGAAGCGGAAGTTTCCCCCCCCCCCCCCCCTCCCTCCCTGTAGTCTTCTGGGACACATGACAGGTCCCAGAAGACTACAGGGCCATTCACAAAGCACAGCGCTTCTTACTCATGCGCAGTGGGCACCAGGCTATGAAGCCGCAAGCTGTCACAGCCGGGTGCCCACACTGAAGATGCCAGTATCGGGGAGAAAAGACGGCCGGTGAAACCAGCGGTGGTGAAGACACCGCTGGACCGAGGGACAGGTAAGTGTCTGTATTTTAAAAGTCAGCAGCTACAGTTTTTGTAGCTGCTGACTTTTATTTTATATTTTTTAGGTGGAACTCCGCTTTAACTTTCAGAAGCAGCAGAGTTATGACTTTCCAGAGAGTAGTCAGCACAGTTCAATTTTAATCTTAGTTCACTTTAGTACACATTTTGTTAAATAAAAGAACAGCCTCTGAGGTCTGACCATACCTCTATCATAAAAGACCAAAAGATTTACATATTTAAAATTACCTTGCTCTGGAGTAAGCATTAAGTGTGCCTTAAGTCCTGCTTCTGTAAGACTCTGCAACATAATAAAATGAACAAGTAATTTAATAATAAAAATAATACAGCGCAAATAATACAAATAATCAAAATGTGAAAAATATTAATGTCCATTTTTCACATTTTGATTATTTGTATTATTTGTGCTGTATTATTTTTATTAGTACATTTTGATGTTTAGTCAATCCTTGAACAGCAGCATTCAATTTTTCACTTATTCCTTTGGCACAAGTTTTTTTATATATTTTAAGTAATTTAATAGTTACATTCCTTTAATTACTGGAAGTGCTGTTACCAGCATGACCAAATGGTAAAATAAAAACTTTGCAATAGATTCACAAAAATAACGATCTTCTCAAGAAAACTGTATACAGTGAGACATAATCCAAAAATAGTAAAAATATAGATTTTGGGTTGTTATACACTTTAAAGCAGAATTATACTCACCTCCACTCCAGTGTTGTGGTGTCCCAGGGCTCCCTTGCTGACAGCTGACATCTCCATCCAGCCTTTTTCTGGGTTCTGATTTTTGGCCATTTTGATTGGCCAGGTTGTGATGATGTCATTCCTGTGCATGCGGGGGAGTTCATTCATCTCCTTGTGTACAGTGTGGATAGGCAAGTGAGAAACTTTAATGCAGAAAAGACATTGTGGGATTTATTTACTAAAGCTGCAGAGTGCAAAAACAAGGCTTACCTCTGCATAGAAACCAATCAGCTTGTTCAGTTAAGCTTTGGCAATAAAATCTGGAAGCTGATTGGTTTCTATGCAGAAGTGAACCTGATTTTGCACTCTCCAGCTTTAGTAAATAAACCCCCATATGTCTCTTTTGCATTAAAAAAGAACTTCCTATTCGCAACTTTTTTTTTTTTTTTTTTTTTTTAATTAAAGATCCCACTTTAGAGTATAACTAAAGGCATACAATGTAGAGGGGTTTCCTTTCAAGTAATTATTGCTGTCCCTGTTAGAGAGATTCACCATCTCCTGGTCCCATCACTGAGAGCAAAAGTAAAAGAAAATACCAAATTTTGAGTCATCACTATAACAGGAATAGAGTGGAGATCTTCCAGTGGTGACACTAATTCTAAAGACTCAGGTAAAAACATTTAAAAGGGTTTCATTGTTTGCTATTGTGACTATGGGACAAGAGGTGAAGAGAAATCTCCCTAATGGGGCAGAGAAAAAAAAAAAAAAAAAACTGACAGGGGCTATGACCCTCTCTTACGCTATCAAAAATGAGGAAAAAAAAAACAAACAATCTGAAAAGGACTGCAGTTAGTAAAATGAAACATGTAAATATTTTTAAACTTAAAGTTGTTTAAAGCGGTAGCAAACTGCCTCCCCAAAAAAATGAGTCCCCTGCAGGTCTAAGCCATAATGTGCACCTCATACAAACACATTATGAGACACTTACCAGCACACGGAGCCCTCCAGTGCAGTGCTGTCATGGATCCCCCGAGCTTCCATCTTCACCTGGTCTTCCTTCCAGCTCCAGCTGTTTCAATGTCCAGTGCCACGATTATGTCACCCTCGCACATGTGTGCCGGTGTTCCGCTTTGCATTTAACGGCATACTCTGTGCCCTGAATGCAGAGTGTCACTGTACTATTGCCAATGTGAATATCTCATAAATGGTGTATGGTTAGGAGATATTCATTGTATCTACAGGTAATTCTGATTGTAAGCTTAGAGAAAAAAGAACAAATCGATGCCTGGAGGGGACCAAACTTAACAAATGTATTAATAAAATGTAATGGCTGGTCAGTATATAATAAAGAAGTGGGGGAATGGGGGCAATAAAAAGAATATGTATAGAATGATAATAAAAATCAATGTTACAATAAAAAGATAATACAATGTAAAATGACAGATAAGGCATAAAAGTCCAAAATCCAGGGATTCTAAATGTTGTATGGCAGGTAAAGGCAGCTCCCCATAGAGCGAATCAGTACTCTGCAGAAGATAAAAATGGACAGAAGGGGACACCAATCTGAGAGTAGAGGGTTATTAATTTACTAATAACATAGGGTATTAAAACTACTCACAAACATCATGAGTAAGAAAGCATGGTAAGGTAATCCTTTGGTAAGTCATCAGTCCACCAGCGGTGTGGGTCCGAGTCATTCAGGATGAAGGGGGATGGAGCCGTCAGCTGTCAACAGTGCAGTGAGTTTGAAAATGGCGCCGAAACCAGCGTGGACCACAAGGAAGATAGGGACTGCTCTGCCATTAGTCACCTGCTGAGTCCCTGTCTTCCTTGTGGTCCACGCTGGTTTTGGCACCATTTTCAAACTCGCTGCCCTGCTGACAGCTGATGGCTCCATCCCTGTTCATCCTGAACAACCCGGACCCACACCGCTGGTGGACTGATGACTTAACAAAGGATTACCTTACCATGCTTTCTTACTCATGATGTTTGTGAGTAGTTTTAATACCCTATTTTATTAGTAAATTAATAACCTTCTACACTCAGATTGGCGCCCCCTTCTGTCCGTTCTGATTGTAAGCTTACCTGTAGATACAAGTGAAGAGAATGGAGTTTACTACCACGTTAAGTAAAAAAAAAAAAAAAAAAATCAGGGCTTTTAACTATTTTCCAGGCTAACTCATAATATAAAATTACTTTTCATAATGTTGCCGTGGGGGTTCTGGAGATCTGTAGAATTATAACCTCTGTGTGACAGTTCTGGGTCAGAGCACATGGTGTTTGCCTTCACACACCAACAGCAAAGGTATGGCCAGGCTTGTGTACATGGTCATTTGTTTATATCAGAACTGACCAACAATCAAAAGATGTAAAAACAACTTGACACAGATTGCAAAGGAGGTCAGGAATTCAGAATGATCTCAACACATGATGGGTTACTTAAAAATACAAAATGTGCAGTCTTCTCTGGTATAAAAGGTCTGTTACTAAAACTTTGGATACAATGTAAAGGATATTTACATAATTTGGAGCATTATGTAATATAATGTAATTTATAAGTACAAATTGACTCATAAACCCAACACCCAATAACATGTTTGATGGTGGCTGTAATATAGGCTATATTTTTAGCAGTGTTACCAAAAAGGAAATCAATTTACTGTTTCTCCTATTTAAATATTTCAGAACTTTGAGAATGACCTTTTCCTGGATAGCCATTCTTGGTACTGTATAAAGGTATATTGATATTCCTCAGCATCTTCCAAAAGATTCTTAGGCCCCATGTACACGGGACACTTCTGAACGATGGAAACTGACTGCTGGAAAACGTAGGTTAAAAAACGTGTTAGCCGCGTTTGCATACCACGTTTGTGGGTGTTTGCGTTTGAAGCACTTTTTAAAGATAAGCACAGGAGAACCTCCCAAATGACCAGAATGCACTGAAAAGTGGTAAATTATTAACTATTTCAGACTGTTTCAGAGAAATACAGAGAGCAGAAGCAGAGACAGCAGTACGTGTTGAGATTAGCTTAGGTGTGAGGTGCTCATTAATTTCTTTTGTTTCCAAGGGTGGGAAAGGTGTCTGGAGGAGTGAGTCATTAAGGGCACCTGGCAGGGGGTCTTCATGAGGAATTTGAGGTGTGAATAGTCATTAACATATCTTTTGTTTCCAAGGGTGGGAGGTCTGAGGTGTGAATTGGTCATTACCATGTGTGACAAGCTTGATAGGAACATCCTGTGTTCAGTGTTTTGTCCATCTGAGTACATTGAAAACGCTTTGCATGCATTTTTCATGATGAAAAAAGGCTCTGGACAGCATTGGGAACTGGAAGAGTTAAAAAAAATTTTCAGACGCAAACACTTCTAAATGCGGTTTGCCGCATTTAGATGCATTTACATGCGTTTACAAGAGTTTTGTGTTTAAAACACAGAGAAAATCAACTGCTGAGCGCAAGTTTTCTGCGTTCAAAAAAATGACTGTAAACTCAAATGCCTGTAAACGAACTGAAAACGGAGATGTGTACATGGACCCATAGGAAAACATTAGGGTGAGTTCAGGGGCTGCTGAAAAAAAATGCTCCAAAAACAGCTCCAAAACGTGAGTTTATCAGCTGCAGTGTACATGAGCCCTTAAAAGCTTGGACAAGGCTCATACTCTAGCCCTAGGGGTCACTGTGGTAATACACCTACCATACGTGGCAAAGCGACATTTTTGTGTACTTACAGGTAAATTGCAGGAGCATCCAAGAGTGTTCCCCAAGGCACTGTGATTTACTGAGCACTGAAAGGGTTCTGACAGTTCTTTTGGTAAGACAGGTTCATATACAGGTTTTTTTAATAAATGGTTAAGACTGCCATGGCTTCCATTATTGGGTGCAGGCTCAATTTCCAACAAATCTAGATGATAGAGCACAGATATTAGAAAAAGTACATGGCCACACACACACAAAACTGCAGACCAGAATAATAATAATGTAAAAAAAAAAAAAAAAACCTACCGCACATCAAATTATAGATTTCTACATTTTCAAAGGGCTGCACTTCTGTGTTATGCTTGAACTTGGGACCATAGGCAATAAAGAGAGCCTGTGATAAAAGCAGAGTTATCATGATTATTATTATTATCATGCAATGTTTCACTGAAAATCACCAAAGACACAATAGATTAGCATTCGCTAGAACTGAATCTTTTTATTTTTCTTAAAAAGTCAAATCAAGCGTCAGCACTACCTTTTATTTCTTTCACAGTAACCATTATCTAAATGTATCAATGCCACATTTGTTTATGACCTTTACTATGAAATACACCTATTGAAGAGATTAATCATTACAAAGCTGATTACCTGTAAAACAATAGAACCTCATGTATATGCCAAATGTTCTGCAGCCTTAGTAGAAGCACCAGCTCCAACCTCTAGTGCCTGCTGAAAAATCCCGTCCACATAACTGATGCTACTCTTTTAAAGGGCAAGCAGTGCTTATGCTGGTCCTCATTGTACAACATTTTGTCACCCTGTCTAAGTCATCTTGGTTAACAGACAACCAACCAAGGCAATTTGATTTGTATTCTGAGAAACCTTGGAGAAACTGATTGTCCACCATCTAGTGATAAATATAGTCGTATTTCATGCTATTAATTCATATACAGGCGTACCTCAGTTTACGAATGTAATACGTTCTCCGGGACGTTTCCCATAGGAATGCACTGAAAACCAATTAATCCATTTCAGAGGTCAGAAAAAAGTAAAAAAAAAAAAGCATTTTATCTGTTCAAAACTCTTTATAAAGTGCAGTTTAAGGCATAAATACTGTACAGGGACATGATTAAAAATTTCCAGAATGGCTCCAAAACTCGATGCAAAAACCACTTCAACACCTTTACCTCTAAGCCACGTGCTACCCACAGACTCCAGAATGCACGGGGCTGGCACTATAAACCTCCCAGGTGCAATACATCCAGGGGAAACTTGCTTTGTATTGAGAAAAAAATTCATAAATGTATTGAAAACCAATTAATCCGTTCCGGAGGTCAGAAAAAAGTAAAAAAAAGTCTTATCTGCTCAAAACTCTATATAAAGTGCACTTTAAAGCCGGAGCCGGCGCTATAAACTTCCTAGGCGCAATGCATGCTGGGAAACTTGCTTCGTATTGCGAAACAAATTTGTAAAGCAAGGCATTATTTTCAATTGATTTTCATTCTTAAACCAAAAATAATGTTAACTGAGGCATTTGTAAACCGAGGCATGCCTGTATTGCCAAGTGCCCTGATCTAAAGTAATATTATACTGTTGTTTCTACAGCAAAGTTTTCAGCACTGTGTCTTCACCTATTACACTGGTTCACTCGTGTCACAAAATCTCAATAAATTCAATGTTATTATTAAGTAAAAAAAAGTTTTAGAATAAGATTTTTGGTGGGCTCTGCCTTATTACAGAAGCTACGACTCACGTATCACCCTCCTTAGCATCTATTCCTAATGGAAATAGACCATAAAACAAAAGCATCCTCTAAAGTTGTAAATTTTGTATGTTTGAAAAATTTTCCACAATTAATAAATTATCATCCAACAAACACAGCTACATAGAATAATCCATACTTAATTGAATTGAAAAATACATAGCAAACAACAGGTTTGAGAAGCTATGGATATTCCAAGATCTAGACATATTACACTTTTCAAATACAGTATAATATTATTATTATACAGGATTTATATAGCGCCAACGGTTTGCTCACCGCTTTTACATTATAGTGGGAGACAATACAGTAACAATACAGTTCAATACAAGAGGGATTTGTGGGCCCTGCTCCTAGGAGCTTACAATCTAGGAGGGAGGGGGTGAATGGTACAATAGGTAATACCTGTGGGGGATGGAGTGGTTGGAAGAGTAGAAGATTCCAGTATTAGCAGAGGGCTGGATAGGCTTCCTGAAGAGATAGGTTTTCAGTGATCATCTAAATATAAGTAGAGTAGCGATAGTCTGATAGATTGGGGTAGGGAGTTCCAGAGGATGGGTGACGCCCTGGAGAAGTCTTGGAGACGAGCATGGGAGGAGGCAATAAGGGAGCTTGAGAGTAGGAGGTCTTGCGAGGAGCAGAGTGTACGGTTTGGGTGATATTTAGAGATAAGATCAGTTACGTAAATTGGGGCAGTGTTGTGATGGATGGCTTTATACGTCATTGTTAGTGTTTTGGATTTTATCCGTTGGGCAACTGGGAGCCAGTGGAGGGATTGACAGAGAGGGGTGGCAGATATGGAATGGGTAGTAAGGTGGATGAGTCTGGTAGCAGCATTCATGATAGACTGAAGAGGGGATAGCCTGCGGTGAGGTAGGCCAATGAGGGAGTTAACAATAGTCGAGGATGCGTGATATGACAAGGGAGTGAATAAGTGCTTACGGCACATTAACCACTTGCCTACCAGCACTTATACCCCCTTATTTACCAGGCCAATTTTCAGCTTTCAGCGCTGCCGCACTTTGATTGACAATTGCACGGTCATGCAACATTGTACCCATATGAAATTTTGATCATTTTTTTCTCACAAATAGAGCTTCTTTGGTGGTATTTAATCGCCACTGGGCGCTTTACTTTTTGCGCTATAAATAAAAAAGTGCAAAAAAATTTGAAAAAAAAAGTTTCTTTGTTTCCTATTATAAAATTTTTTCAAACAGAGCAGGAGCATTTTTTCCTCCTTCACTGATGTGCGTTGATGAGGCAGCACTGATGGGCACTGATAGGCGGCACTGATGGGCACTGATAGGCAGCACTAAAGGGCACTGATAGGCAGTACTAATGAGGTGGCACGGATAGGCGGCACTGATAGACAGCACTAATGAGGTGTCACGGATAGGCGGCACTATATGCAGCACTGATAGGCGGCACTGATAGGTGACACTGATGATGGGTACTGATAGACGGCACTGACTGGCATCACTGCTGAGCACTGACTGGCGGCACTGACTGGCACAACCCCTGGGCACTGACTGGTGGCACTGACTGGCAGCACTGCTGGGCTGCACTGGTGGGTGGCACTGGTGGGCAGCACTGGTGGGTGGGCACAGGTGGGTGTGGCACAGGTGGGTGGCACTGGTGGGCACAGGTGGGTGGGCACAGGTGGGTGGCACTGCTGGGCACATGTAGGTGGCACTTCTGGGCACAGGTAGGTGGCCCTGCAGAGTGGAACAGGTGGGTGCACTGCTGGGCACAGGTTGGTGCACTGCTGGGCACAGGTGGGTGATCATTGGACACCCGCTGATCAGGTGGCCGCTGTGATTGGCCTTTTACCACATCACGTGATCAGCTGTGTCCGTAGGACACAGCGATCACAGAGATCGCCGGGTGCGGAGAGCGCGTTCTGGGGGGGACGTCATATGACGTCCACTCAGAACTGGCCGGCCGCAGTGAAGCCGTCATTCGGCTATCTGCGGTCGGCAGGTAGTTAAAGACCATTTTCTATTCTCCCAGCTACCAAAAAGGTTTCTGGAAGCTTTCAGTATTTTAAAAAGCTATTATATCTAACATAAAAGTAAGATTTTCATGAAGTTGGTTGTTACATTTCACACCAAATAAAGGGTACCTATTGAGAGAGAAAAATGTATCTACCATATACTGCGTTTTCATTCATATTATAGTTGGATGAATTTAAGAGTTAAAGCGGAGTTCCACCCATTTTTAAAAGTTGCTTTCATCTACATGCCCACCCGCAGTGTATTCCTTAATGAATATTAATATTTTTTTTTATGTCTGAATACCTTATTTTTATCTCTGTATGCAGTACTTCCGGTCCGGCCGCCTAGACGATGTCGTCATAAGGTGCTTCCCATGGACTCCTGGGATATCGGTGTTATCGATCCCAGGAGTCCAAGCGAATTGACTAAAAATGAAAAATCGTGTTATTTCCCAGACCAAATCCGACTTCTGGGTCTTATGATTGACAGGTTGCCATAACAACAGGGCGAGAACATCTGCCGATGCCACCATTGCTATGGCAACCTTCAATCAACAAACTGCGCCGCGCAGTTTCATTACTGCCCAGGCGCAATCGGGAGGTGCATGCTGGGTAGCCAGCTGCACTGAATCCTGGAAGTGAACAGGAGATGGCTTCAAATGCCCACATTTACCATGACCCCTGCCTGCTGACAAGTTTGTGTGATCGTTTACAGATGTAAGAATAACAGGTATGAATACAGTTATAACAATAGCCAATTATTTCAGTACAAGAATAACAATCATGATGGTGCTTTAAAAATATACCGTATTTGCCGGCGTATAAGACGACTGGGCGTATAAGACGACCCCCTACTTTTCCTGTTAAAATATAGGGTTTGAGCTATACTCGCCGTAAAGACTACCCCTCTTCCAACGCACACCAAATAAAAATGAAAAAACATCAGATTTGATTTCAATATGGTATGGTATTTCAGTATGGTATTCCAATGATGGGGTGCTATTCCTCCCACTGACACCAATGATGGGGCATGATTCCTCCCACTGATACCAATGATGAGGCACTACTCCTCCCACTGACACTAATGGTGCCCCATCAGTAGTGTCAGTGTGTGAGGAATAGTATCCCATCATTAGTGTCAGTGGGAGGAATAGTGTCCCATCTTTGGTGTCAGTGGATGAAATAGTGCCCCATCATTAGTGTCAGTGGGAGGAGTAGTGCTCATCATTGGTATCAGTGGGAGGAATAGTGCCCCATCATTGGTGTCAGTGGGAGGAATAGCACCCCATCATTGGTATCAGTAGGAGGAATAGTGCCCCATCATTAGTCAGTGGGAGGAATAGTGCCCCATCGTTGGTGTCAGTGGGGAGGAGGAATAGTGCCCCATGGTTGGTGTCAGTGGGGAGGAGGAATAGTGCCCCATGGTTGGTGTCAGTGGGGGAGGAATAGTGCCCCATCATTGGTGTCAGTGTGGAGAATAGTGCCCCATCATTGGTATCAGTGGGGAGAAAAGTGCCCTATCATTGGAGTCAGTGGGGGAGGAATGGTGCCCCATCATTGGTGTCAGTGGGGGGGGAGGAATAGTGCCCCATCATTGGTGTCAGTGGGGGAGGAATAGTGCCCCATCATTGGTGTCAGTGGGGGAGGAAATAGTGCCCCATCATTGGTGTCAGTGGGGAGAATAGTGCCCCATCATTGGTGTCAGTGGGGAGGAGGAATAGTGCCCCATCGTTAGTGTCAGTGGGGGGGAGAGGAGTGGCTGCTCCTTCTTTCAGTTCGGCAGCTTGTGTGCGCTGGTGCCCAATCACCGGTGAGGAGGCGGAGCCGAGCGGGCTGCCGCGCGACCATCGCGCGGCCGAACTGAAAGAAGGAGCAGCCGCATTCCTGGACCGGATCATCGTGGGACCGGGACCGGAGCCAGGTAAGGTACAGCAGCCCCTCTGCCCACCCCTGTACTTAGGACATCGCCCCTGGAAAAAGTGCCGCCCTGACACCGGCTCGCCGTATACCGGCGTATAAGACGACCCCCGACTTTTCAGAAGATTTTCAGGAGTTGAAAAGTCGTCTTATACGCCGGCAAATACGGTAATTGCTGTGGAGCCTGGAGCTCCGCTTTAACAATTAACTGCAGTATAAGTTACTTTAGGTGTTAGCTATGCTTAAAGATCTAAACCATAATATGACATTCGTTTTACTAAAACATGTTGTACACTAAACAATTGTAATTTTTGTAATTTTTTCCATTTTTTTTTAATCTTAGTGCTGCTCACCTCCTCCAGCCACTTTCACTTACCACCCATCTACATACAGTAGCTTCAGCATTAGCTGCACATCATTGCCCTGGACTGGCTTCCTGATAGCAACAGTGAACGATGCCTGTGCTATGTGGGTCAGCACAGCCACTTTTGGTTACCACTAGGGGCATGCAACTGTAAGTTCCCTGTAACAGGAAGCACCTTTCAACAGTATCAACAGAAAAAATAAACGCACATTTTTTTTTTTGCAGGTAAAAAAAAGTGCATTTAGAATTTTTTGTTGTAGGCGCCTGGAAGGCATTGCACCAGTGATCAGCACATCGCTGGTGCCATGCAGAACTTCTGCAGACTTGTCAATGTATCTACTTGCCCGTACCTTGCTCACAGCGCCATGGTATTTATTGAGAACTACAAGCCAACAGCTCTAAGGCTGTTGGTACTTGTAGGTTCTCATTCACAGAATACTGTGAATGAGTGACACGGCGGGGCTGAGAAGATCTCCCACTAGCTGTCAAAGCTGGGGATCGGGGAGTACAGGGGCCAGTCATTTCATAACATGTTGCATGTACGTTACACCCTGAATATGGGTTTAACATGTAACATGTTATGCAAAGTGAACTTATCCTTTAATGAAAGCTGCATATTTTAAAAGACTGAAAACCACTTTTGAAATTACATTAACGTGTTAAAGCTTATATGTGATTTTAATGATTAGGTTTACATATACTGTACTTTAACTAAAATGACAAAAAGGATAATGAAGCTCTGACCAACAGTGACAAAAAGTGGCAACTCACTCTCAGCCCAGTTCTAAAGTAAGTTGCTAGAGATTTTTTTTCAAGATATTTTAAAAACTATTTCACACATGCATGCTACTGCATATATTTGTATTTTGTCTACTTAGTTGCATTTACTAAAACGTTTCATATTATAAACCTACATTCATCATGCATATGGTCTTGTCATCTCGATTAACTACAATTTGAAAAGAGGATGCTATTATTACTATCCTTGTCTTTATTAAACCCTAAGCTAATGTATGGTTTAGGGAATGTCAAAGTCTGATGCTAGACCATTCATTTCAAAAAAAAAAAATCTTCCCGTAATATTATCTGTGCATTTAAAATATTTTATGCGTGTTATATACCTGCAAAGGCCCCACTTGTGTAAGCACCCAGAATGCCTGAGACTGTTGCTGGGCCCCACCATCTTGGATGTGATGTCAGCGGCCCCAGCAGACTTAGAGCTGTCACTTAACCAGCAGTTTATAATATTTCCCTTTGCTTCTCCCCCAGTAGTTACATAAATGATTATGTAGAGAGGTGGAGGGGGGGCGAAGAAGCTTGGGCCAGCACAGAGAGTAATTACACCATGCCAGAGGCAATGAGGAGAGGCACTGATGTGCAAGGAGGCAGAGGCTGTACTTGGGAACTGACTCTTGGACCTAGGAGTAGACAATAATGGCTTTTATGCCAAGATAGCTTTGCAGTTGGGTAGAAGGTTTCAAGCTTAGTTTAGGTAAATGGGCTAAGGAGGTCAGACTATGGTAATGTTTACTAAAAGTGAACTTGTCCTTAACACCTACAGCCTGTCCTATAGCAGATTGACAGCTGGGCGGGACGTTCCTCCTGAGTGGACATCATGTGACGTCCTCTCAGAAGGCACCACTGATGTGGCCACGAGGCCGCGCAGTGGCACGATCGGTCACCAGCTGTATCTACTGGACACAGCCGATCACTGATCATTACACCGACCCTCTGCCAGTGTCATGTGCTCGCATGTGACCAATCACAGCAGGTCACATGACAATTGTATACAATGGATGGTTTTCCTTTCATGTCATCCATTGTATACAATTGTGTTAGCTGTGATTGGTCACAGTGGTCACATGGTACAGACAGGACCAATCACAGCCCATCTGTACATGTGATGAGATTTTGCCAATCACAGCTAATCACAACAAAAGACACTGAATGAATCAGTTTCATTCAGTAAAAACAGTTGTTAATATCACTGAAATACATTGGTATAAGCAATCAATGAGTAAAAAAAAAAATCCTGATCACTTGCCCAAAGTAGTAGAATGTTACTATGGTAACACTGTATTGCTCTGGTCACAGTGTGTTGAAAAAAATAGTAAAAAAAAAGAAAAAATGTAATTTAAAAAAAATTATAGAAAAAATTGAAAAAAAATCTTTTTTTTTTTTCTTTTTTTTTTACTGTCACCAGTCAATCTCCCTGATCACCACCACACCAGTTATATGATAATGCTGTATTGGACTGGTGACAATATGTAAAAAAAAAATAATCCTTTTTTTTTTAAGTTTCTTAATTTTCCCAAAAAATAGTGACAAAAAAATTACAACTTCAAAAAACTTGCCATGCCTCTTACTAACTACCTTAGACCAGTGGTCACCAAACTACGGCCCGGGGGCCAGTTGTGGCCCTTTGCTTAACTCTATCCGGCCCATGTGACATTATTCCTCTAACTGACACCAATGACGTGGCACCATTCCGTCCACTGATGCCCGGCACTATTTCTCCTGCTAAGACCAATAATGGGGCAGTACTCCCACTGACACTGGAGATGAGGCACTATTCCTCCCATTGATACCAACCATGGGACACTATTCCTCTTGCTAAAACAAACAATGGGCACTATTCCTCCTGCTAAGTTCAATGATGGGGCTGTGTTTACTCTCACTGATGCCAAGACATTTTCTACTCACACTGGCCACAGTCCGCCCCCCCCAAAATCCTGAAGGATAGTAAACTGGCCCTTTGTTTAAAAAGTTTGGAGACCCCTGCCTTAGACTGTCTTTTTTACAAAAAATGGGTTATTTGGGGGGTATTTGTACTATCCTGGCTTTTTTGGGCCTCAAGAAATGAGATTGGCTGTCAGTAAACCGGGATTGATCAATTTATTGTACTAATATTGGCATATGGGGTTGTCATGTGTGCAACATTGTAAGATGTTTGCACATTGTCATGTGTGCAAGATTGTAATTAGGCCCAGCCCTCTCTTCTTTCTAGAGAACCATGGCTTCCAGAATAATATTTATAGAATGTTGAGGACCAGTTATCACCCAATCGAATTGGCCTAGTTTTTCCCCCATTCAAGCATACATAGTAAGTGCATTATTGTATGCCAACATTTCATTTTTTCTGTTATAATCTAACAAAGTATGATTAGTACATACAGCAAGTGCATTATTGCATGCTGTGTTGCATTTTTTGCATTGTGGCTATAATTAATCTATGGCCATTATCAACTGAGTTTAAAGTGTCTTGTCTTTATTAGATTGCCATGGTGCTATATGGTGCTGATGCGCCTCCATGTCTGGACAATAACCCCGGTGCATCCTCTTCCCCTCCAATGGTTAACTATAATTGTGATTTTATTGTGAGTAATTACAACAATTTTAAACCTATGTACAGTTGTAGAAAATATAAACAAAAGTTTTTTTATTTTATTTATTTGTTTTAGATGCAGCCTTTCTTATCCCCTGAGGAAGCGACAAATAGTTGCGAAACATGTAGAGCCAACTCCAGCTGAAATCGTACTAGCTCCCAATTGGGATATCATATCTATATTCATTCAACTGTTCAAGGTCATCTCAGTCAGTGGTGATCTTTTTTGGTACCTTTTAGTCTATACAGTTGTTGAGGAGATATAGGATTTCAATTAATTTATGCACTGGGTGCAATTTCCTCTATTTTGAATTTGTGGTATATATGAGGTATCACTTTTAGGCAATCTTTTTTTTTCCTTTTGTATATGCATTTTTGCAATAAAGAGAATTAAGATTTTATTACATATCTGCTTGAGGTATATGTGCCTACAAAGTCCATTTAGCTCTGACCTCTCTCATTAGGATTGATCGATTTGCCATAGTTTGTGGACTCTAAACCTTTCCTACAGACTAAATAATATACACTAATTTGGGGCATTTTCACCAAAGAAATGTAGCAGAACACATTTTGATCAAAATTTATGTAGAAAGGTTATGTATTTGCCAAATTTTATAACAGAAACGAAGAGAAATGCATTTTTATTTTTTCAAAAATTTCAGTCTTTTTTTTGTTTATTTAGCAAAAAAAAAACCTCCAAAATAACACCAAAAGAAAGCTCTATTTGTGTGAAAAAAAAATTTCAAATTTATTATGGGTACAGTGTTGCATTACCATGCAATTGTCATTCAAACTGTGACAATGCTGAAAGCTGAAAATTTGGTCTGGGCAGGAAGGTGGTAAAAGTGCCCAGTACTGAAGTGGTTAAATACATGCGTCGTAATTTACCTGCATATTTTTGAAAAGATTGTCAGAACCATGAAATCCCCCATTGCAGAATTTTGATACATCACGTTGTGACCTACAATTATAAGAAATGTTAGTAAGAGCTTCCAAAGGCTTTAAATTAATACATACACTCCCCCTGGGCTAATTCAGTAGAGTAAGCATTTCCAAAGTTCCCAAACAACAAAGACACTGTAAGGATAAGATGTATCCTTAGATAAGAAGTAATGTAAAATCAAACTGTTCCACTGATGAATTAGCTGACTGGAGGCCATTCTCTATTCACTCCACTACTACCGCACTAAATGCAAAATGTTAGTCCTCCTTCCCCCTTACACCCACACACACACAAAATATGCCCATGCTAATGGAGATCATAGGTTTCCCTTCCACCCAAGTAATCTCCAGTCCTCTAGTCCATCACACTTTTAACATCACAGTAAGGTTTGTGGAAAAATCTATATCTCTTGACTCCATGGCTAATTTTTTTTTTTGTAGGATGCCTCCTGTGTGTCACCATGGTATTGAACTGGTGGATAGAACTTTCAGGTTAATCTTGACCTAGAGAGAGAACTGGAGGGCTTTGATCCTAGATCTGACACCTGCAAATAGATCTGCTCTTCTAAAATCAGCATTACAAAAAAGAAAATCTAAGCTTGGCTAAACACTTATGGGGGTGGGCTGATTTACCTATTGTGAATATTGTAAGTATTCACTTCAATTATCCAATCATGTAAAAAGTGTGTGTGCACATGATTAGGTATTTAAAGTGAACAAGAATTTGCTTTTCACATGATTGGAAATTTGAACTGAATACTCACATCATTTTTGAGTGAATACTTTAAACTCATTTAATAAATTGGCCTCTATCTATAACTAAAGTACTACATATGAAAGCCTCATTATTAATGTAAGGAATACAGAAAGAAACTTGCAATATAAACTCACTGTATATGAAGCAGCAACATCAGCTTTGTGCTGTTTGCGTTCTGTGCTGTCAATCAGCAACACTAAGTGGAGGGGGCCATAAAACATTTTTGAACGCGTCAAAACCAGCCTTTGAGTAGGCTGATAATTCTAATACTGATAATTAAATGAGTAAACACGTCTGATAATTCACTGTAGTGCCACAGCAGACTAATTATGGGCCTACCTATTAGCTAAGCTCAACTTTAAATTCCACCAATGAGACATGTTTACAGCAATCACACAGCAATCTAAAATTTAGAATAATTTTAGTCTTAACGTGTTGCCAAATATAATTGTTGCTATGTCAGTATTCATTATGCTGCCTTTGAAAAAGGGGCATGTGAATGAGCAAGTTATAGGCTGTTCCTGATCCCTGTACTATAATAGAACTGAACAGAAACTCTCTCCACTTGCGTCAAATGGTTACGCCTAATGCAAGGCTTCATTCATCTAACTCATTTTTGTCCATGTAATTATCTTAAGTGTGAACATGAGTTTTTACATCAGTGCATAACACTTACATAGCCATGAGGAAAGTTCTCATCTTGTCCTCTGCTATTCTATTAGGGAATTCTACTTCATTATAAAATTGCTGCTGTAACAGCCATATAGCTGTTTTAGCCATAGTGTTTTGCTTGGGTATCTTCTTTAAATAAATTACCATTTCCTAACATTCTCTATTTATAGCCTAACAATTGCAGACTTCCCCTTTTAAAGGTATTATTACAACCTGTTCTTAATGCCACAGTGTGTTTTTTGTTTTAGAGATTGTAATATATCTTCTATTTATCTACAAATATAAATATGAACATATATTCCAATAAACTTACTTTGCAACTTGCCACTTGGGGTCACAGTAAAAGTGAAGTGATTCGATTCTGGGATTGTTGGCAAAGTGTAAACGCTTAGGCAAGTCCTCCTTCAGTAATGGTTTGAAATGCTGATTCTTTTTTCTGCACTGCAATATCATTAAATGGTGTTATTTTTTCTTGAAAAAAAACAGGATTTTTGACTTACCTTTAAATTTCTTTTCTTGGATTACATCACAGGACACAGAAGAGTTAATCTTCAGACAATTGGGTTATGTTCCACCTCCAGGTGAATGGGCACTGACAAATATGAAAGCTTGACTCAAGCCTGTATAACCTCTGCCACTTGCAACATTGCCTCAGTTTTATTAATCACACTGTATAAGAAAAAAAAACAACCGAGGAGGGACCCATGTCCTGTGATGTACTATAAGAAGGGAATATTACAGGCAAGTCAAAAATGCATTTTTTAAATCACAGAACACAGAAAAGTTAAACTTAGACCATTGGGATGTCCATAAACAATCCCATGAGGGGCAGGCAACTGCAAACAATGGCTAACAGGCCCTCCAAGAAAACCTCTTAACAAAAAGGAAAATAAATATACACAGAAAAGGTCCCTACAAGGCCACCAGAAGGCCCAACCAAGAACAGCATTGGCTAAGGCCTGAAAATCCACCTGGTAAAAACCAAGTTGCAGCCTCACAGACCTGGAAAACCAAGTAACGATGCTGAAAAGCCCACAAAGCACTAACACGTCTAGTACAGTGAGCCTTTACAGGAAAGGGGGGGGCATACCCCTCAGACTGTATGCCTGAGTAATATTCTACTGAATCCACCTAGCAACTGTGAACCAAGAGGCAGCTTCCCTACCATGAACCCTCAGATATCACAAACCGTGTCAGATTGGTAGATGGAGGTCATGGCTGCGAGTTACACTAGCACAACCGTAACTACATTTAGGCAGTGGTGAGCATTATCCTTGAGATGCTTAGGAGCCAGACAAAAAGGAAGGCAACGCTATCCAGATTGAAATGAAATGCTGAGACAACCTTGGATAGAAAGGATTTCTGAGGTCTCATAACAACTCTGTCAATGTGGAATACAAGAAACTGCTTCTTGCAGAAAAGGTCTACAAGTTTAGACAACCTCCTAATCAAAGTGATAGCTGTATAGTATTCTTGAGGGAAAGGAAAGGGGGAGAAATGTTCTGAATAGGTTCAAATTGTGGCCTCTGAGGGACTGAAAACACAAGACTGATCATGTGGAGAGTATACTGATGGTACAATGTAAGCCACCCTTTGTGCAAAGGCTCTGACCAAGGAATGGGAAGCTAGCAGTTTAAAAAAACAGCACCACCAAGGCAGCAACCTGACTCAGGGCCAAGGACATATTCAATCCTGACTGAAAGAAAGATAAATTCCTCCCACAGAATATTTCCTGGGATGGGATATAGCTTCTACTTCTCACACCAAACTAAGTATGCTTTCCATGTGCATGCTTCCATGTTCTTCCAAAGCAGCCTTCTGCTTAGCTACCGAGTTCTGAAAGGAACCCTTCTTGGTTCCAGACATAGCCAGCTTTTGCTTCAAAGGCTTCTGTTGCCTCTTTGAAAGGTAAGAGAATGAGAATGCTTTTTTCCTTCCATAATCTTTTGGATAAACATATCCAAGGCATTGCCAAAAATTGTTCACCTTTGAAAGGCATGCAATACAGCTGTTTCTTGCAACTGAACTCCATCCATTTTATAGCCATAGCACTTGCTAAATATGAACCAGCATAAGTCCCAAGCAAAGAGTTGTCAGAGAGAATCTCCTAACTTGTCTACACATAAGTGTAATGCTTCAGGAAAGAGGTTAAAGTATTGTCTAGCTGAAGGACCTAACGAAAGGGCCCCAGGCTCCTTAGCCATGCACTTTTCTCGCACTGAATATCCCTGACAAACCCCCATAGATGTTATGGCAGGTTGAATTGCCTTACTTGCCAAGGAAAAGGATGCCTTAAAGAGGGAATCAAATTTCTTGTATACAGGGTCCTTAAACACAGATACACTGTCCACTGGAATAGTAAGGGTCCTATTTAAATAAGACATTGCAGGGTCCATAGCTGGACCACCCACTTTTTGGCTGTCCTCTATTGCATATTGTTGCATGAACTGCTTAATGGGTGTAATGCCTTTTCCGGATGGGCCCAGTCCTTGTATGGAATCTCATTGGTGTGAGGATACATTAAAAAAGATCTGGCTGGTTTGGATGTTTTCCAAGACCCCAACCCTGTCACCTTATGCTCAGCCACACCAGTCCAGTGCCAAAGGTACCCACCAACTGGTCACAGAGACTGGTACAATGCAAAACTATAGAGACCACTTCCCACAGCTCTCAAACGTGGCAGGGAGGCCCACCAACTGGACCCAAGTTCCACACAGCCCAAGAGTGAGAACACAACATTGGGGAGCCCACATCTTAGGGGCAACTAACTTGCAGCAGAACCAACAAATGGCTTAATCTTCAGCTTTCCATGGTCAGGATTACCCAGCAGCGCATTTAGGGATTAGGTTCACAGCAGACCATGGCCCTGGACATGTATAGAACCCAGCTGCTAATTCACATGGTGTATCTGCCATGTTGAGTGCCTGTTATGGAATCCAGTGCAGCTAGCAGCTGATTGGCCATCTCAATTTTTCTCCCTGGGGTTTGTGTACAGCCCATTTAGGAATAGAAATGCATAGGGACCAATCCGGATAATTGAAGCTTCACTTGAGCACCAAGGTTCAGCATCCACATGCAGTTGTTAAAAGATTTAGTGTGTCAAAGGAAAAAACTCTAAGCAGAGAGAGACAGGTCCATCACCTACGGACACTAGCAAAAAACTGTGGCAATGCTGGGAGAAAGAGGGGAGCCTTGCTATTTGTAAGTATCCAATCACCTGGAGGTGCAGCATAGCCAAATAGTCTAAGAATTAACTTGCCTGTGTCCTATGATGTACAATTAAAAACACATATTCAACTGATCAGACAGTTTATGAATCATTTAGTGAATTGGGTAAACAGTGGTGTGTTGCAATTTATATTCTATAACTCTTTATTGGGAGTATAAATGCACCCTAAAGTGTATTAATCACCTTTCATATATTCCTTTTGAGCACGAGAGTTACCTTATTCCCACAGTTTGCAGTGCTCGGCAGATTAGTCAGGGAAATATAAAATACTGATCATGAATATTTCATATATACCTAATTGGGCAGCACAGTGGCTAAATGGTTAGCACTTCCACCTGGCAGTACTAGGGTCGTTGGTTCGAATCCCAACCATGGCACCACCTGCCTGGTGGTTGCATGTTCTCCCTGTGTTTGTGTGGGTTTCCTCCAGGTACTCTGGTTTCCTCTCACACTCCAAAGACATGCTGTTAGGTTAATTGGATCCTGTCTAAATTGGCTCTAGTATGTGTATGTATGTGAGTTAGGGACCTTAGATTGTACACCCCTTGAGGGTTAGGGAGTGATATGAATGTACAATATATATATGTAAAGTGCTGTGTAAATTGACGGCGCTATATAAGTACCATAAATAAATAATTAAGTCCAAGATTTAGCACTTGTGACTCCTTTGCATATGTTTACCAAGATAATCTTAATTGCTTTGCCGAAAAAAGCCCATTTACACAGCACATTTTTTTAAGCCCCCCCCCCCCCCCTCTCCAAAAGTAAAGTTTTCCTTTAAGAAAAAAAATAGACCTCAAGCCACTTTTTTGGGGAAAACTATTGCTGCTTGGCAATCTCACAAATTTTCATTTTTGGACAGAATTAAAGTTAGTCTATCAACATCTATATTCGGGATTTATGGGCGTTTATAAAACACACTGTGCTGCCACAGCAACCTGTATTTTGTCTTCTGTGTTGTGTTTGGTATGTTTCTGTACTAGTTGTTACAGTCTTAAGCTAGACACACCCTGCCTCTCTTTGGTACTTAAAGTAGTAGTAAAGTCATGCTATCTGAACTCCCCTGACAGGCAGGGTCAGTCTCTTATCCCAGAGGACACCTATTATGGAGAAACGAGTCGGCCAGAGCTGGATCTGTGACATCATCATGCATGGGTCCGCAGGCAGGTCCCGAAGCCATGTCAATTGTATTGTATTGCATGTCTTTTCATAAATTTGTAAGTGCATAACTTTTTTTAATTAAATTAGCTTTTATAAATACTGCACTATGAGGCTTCCCCTTTTTTGCTTTAGACCGATGTCTGTGTTGGAGTGAGTATAGTGGCTCTGTAGTATTTTTTGCATATGCTTGTTGTGGGGACACCATTGCTGCATCATACTGGTGGGCAGGGGCGGACTGACAACTCATGGGGCCCCCGGGCAATAAGGGATCATGGGGCCCCTGTGTCCTCGCCCACACCCAAAAAAGCCAATGAAAGGTACCAGGGGCATCTCATGGGGCCCCCTACTGACCCCGGGCCCTCGGGCAGTGCCCAATTGCTCAAATGGTCAGTCCACCCCTGCTGGTAGGGTCAAAAATCTCTATTGGAACTCAGATGGTAAGAGTTTTTTGGCCCTCCACTTCAAATAAGCGCTTGCAATCTCTATTATGTGAGATCATTCTGGTCTGGTAAGAGACTTAACCTTTTGAATCAGCACTTGCACTTTGGAGCATGAATTTGTTTACATTAGTGTTCTTTCCATGGTACTTGGATGATCATAAATTGGATTGGATTTTACACATTATATGAACTTTTGGATGCTTTTTTGGACATTATTTCTATTTATGTTCTGTGTTTTGATATTATATATTGAATGTTCACTTTACTGCATTAGAATTTGCAAGCTTGTAATGTTTGGGAGTTAAAGCAACAGTGCACTCTTTATATATAAGGGGTTTTATAACAGAAGAGACCCTAGTGGTCTCTTCGGTCATACATTTTCCCCTTTCCTGTCAGCGGGTAAAATAATCTGAGCTGCACATGCGCAACTCAGATCACATTTACAGACTGCTCTGCATGCCGCAGTTGCTCCCATGCCATGCGCAGGAGTGATGTTGCCGCAGCCCGGCCATTCAAGTGGCCGAAGATACAAAACTTGGAAGGAACATGCGCGAAGATGGAAGTGCTGCGGGAACCGTGCCAGTGCTGCGGTAGAGGGTTCTGTTTGCAGTGGAGT